AGTAAGCAAAAAGAGCTTTGTGGATATGAACTTTTTCTAGATTGTTGTCATCTAGAAATAAAATATTAGCGAGTCAGAGAAAAATCTTCTACATAATCTAAAATCTTTACAGTATTTTGCAAATCTGTCCCTCGGCAAGTAGACCCACTAGGAAATGGCCTATTAGTGTCTTTATTTATAGTTCAAGACTGAACAATTCAGTGATTTACATTTTCAATTTATTCACACCAACTGATATAGGAAATAATTGGAAATGCAGGTTTGACCTTGCTCAAGCAGAGTATGTAAAATTCAATGTAGCAAAGCTTGCTTATTGAATATTATGCAGTAATAGTATGTTTTTTGCATTGTGCAGCTTCCCAACTATGTCAATACAAGATAATGGTTTGGGCAAATTACACGACTAAAGAATTAGGAATGTAACTGGAAAAAGGAAACATAATATTGGGTTTGTGGTAAGAACTCATTTTATATGATAAAACAAATTTGTAGTTTGATCTTTAAAGGAGAACATAAAAAGAGTACTGAAGTACTTGAAATGCAAGGTATATTATAGAATAAAGGAAGTGTGAAGACGAAGAAGTAGTCTGATGGCAGCCTAGACAAGGGCAAAGGAACTCTTTCTGAGCACTGCTAAACATTTTATTCTTAGGAAAATAATTTGGTTATGTAAAATAAGCTGATGGAAATGATGATAGGGAGAAAAATAGTTTAAGAATACAAAGTTCAGGTTTAAGAATTTAATGTAATTTATTGTAATTTTTATCATCACTTAAATCTTCTTTAACACATTCAGGCAAGAGAGGAAAGTCACTGAACTAGTGGAAGGGCAGAAATTCATTCATCTTAAAAAGTACAGTTCCTTATTAGAGAGTTTTCCAGACTAAATGAGCTTATGCTGGAAAGTAGAGCAAAGCAATGTGCATGACTTCATGCAGTCACACAGGCCAGGAAGGTGGGCCCAAAGAGCACCATCCTCCTGTCAACAACCTCCCTGTCTCAGGTGGAACCTGGAGCCTCATGTAGAAGAAGGAGACTTGGTAGTGTCAGTGCAAACCAGCGCTGAGCTGAGGAGATGCAGGTGCTCTTGGCACACCCTTGTGAGGGGCAGCAAGCTGACAGCCCGTGCAGGAGTTCTGCCTGGGGAGCTCTGCTGGGAGGTACCTTGGGTGTGCCACTGGCATTGCCTGCAGTTCTTTTTCAATCCATGTGTAGCCTCCAAAATCTTTAGCAGAGTAGTTGAGCGAGTGCTGTAGCTCATCCTGGTGATTGTAAGGCCTGGTGAAGGAGGTGGGGAGCAGTTTCTGACACACTGTTCTACTGAATTATGTTCTCTGTCACGTATGGGGAGCTGCGTTTCACACCCAGCTTGTAGGTCCAGAATGTCTGTGTGGGGCTTTGTCTCTCTGACTCTTGAGGAAAGTACTTTTGCTGGGACATTAAGCATTTTCTATTAAGTAGTACAATAAAACCTGCTCGTTCCCTGGAACTTAAGAGGTGTAGAGTCATATTCAAATAACTAACTGGAAGGAAATCCTCTGAGTAATGGAATGTTTCCAGTGATGTTGGGTATTCTGTTAGAAAATGACCTTAAGATCAAATAGAATTTGATTCAAACCAGTTGATTCAAATGGCTTGTGGTATTTCTTGTTAACAACACCGATTTTTTTTTGTTAATCTCCTCATTTACACCTCCTTGTTGGAAGAAGAGGGTCTAAGCCTTTCAATGCAAACATCTTTCATTCAAGGTAGATGTTTTTTTCCAAAGGATAATTTCTCTCCTGGTACAGCTTCTCATGAAATTATAAATTCATTAATTTGTTAAAATACCCTAGTGGCCTGGCACAAGGGCAAGAGGGTGTGATTATTCCTGAGTTATTAAGGGAAGGATCATTTAGATGCAGAATTTCACATTGCTTAATTGAAAGACTGTAAAAGAATTGTTGAAATAGGTTTTTAGTCTATTAGACCCCTCAGTAATCTTTTGGGGGAACTCACTAACATGCTTGAATGATAAAAGGCATAAAGATAGCTTTCATCAAGTGAAATTGTTAGTGGTGTGTATCATGCTTGAGATGCATTATAAGCTGTGTTTATGACGTGAGAAACCTTGAAATAGCTTCCGATACACTGCATAAATCATTGCATCCTTGGGTCATGATAAATGCAGAGAAATTTAATTCTGGGACAGTTCTTAAACAAAATAGATCACCAAATTGTATAAATATTGCTCCTTATACTACTTTTTGGTCTTTTGCTTATAAAGTATGAATGATGCAATCCCTCTCTTTTTCCATTCTTCACAGCTTTAGGGACAAGATATGAGTAAAGAGCATCAAGGATGGAATGTTTTGGCCTGTGTCCTTTGAGACAGGTAGAAATAGTTAATCACATGATAGAAGCAAGCTTTGGGCTATGATTAATCTGACATATCAAGAACTATCTTTTAAAAATTGTTTGAGAGAGGGTATGAGCCTTTTTTGAAAGAAAATGAGAGTGCTTGCCAGAGAAGAGTATTTTCAACATCCTGTTTGTTTAGTAGATACCTGGTGAGACAACTCAGCTGAATATGTTTGGAAGAATTATTATTCAGCAAATTAAACCCTTTCAGAGGGCTGTTATCCCAGTTTGAAATCTGATAATGTATCTTGGAAAGACGAAAAACACTTGGGAGGGTTGAAAGAGGCAGGGAATTAAGGACATTGCAGATTTCTGTATATCATGTTTTTTTATGTTAACTGTATTTCAGTTGTGCTTTTATAATGAGCTGGCAATTTTATCAGCTTTCTGCTTGTCAGTATTTATTTGGAATTTAAATTGCTGAGGAAAAGCCTCTAATAGCAGAATTGTCAATTTTTTTAATGCAGTAAAATACACCTCCAACCCCAGGGTGTGCTCTTCCAGCCTTTGTTTACAGTTCCTCTCAAGCTAATGAGTAGTCCATGTGCAGACTCAGCCATGCAATGTCTGTAGAAGATGTGCAGGAAGAGATCTATGCAACCTGCAGAAAAATACTTTACTAGATTTAATGAAATATATGAGTTTGATAAAGCAGTATAATGTGCCTGGACAGAGGTACTGTATGTGTTTATTCAGGGACTTGCAATTGCTTAAATCTCTTTCATCTTAAAGATAAAACTGTTAGTGTTTTGTTAGCAGCAACCCCTGCAATTAGATATTCAACCCGTAATTCACATCTGATCTTCTGTGTTCATTGATACAGAGAGGTTGTGTTACATTGTGGATTCACATTGCCAAGTTTTAGAAAGCAGGAGGCAACACATAAATGGAAATGCTGTGCTGCTGAAATAAGCAGGGAAGACAGGCTTTCTGTGTTAGAGTCTAAAGGGAATATGTGCCTTGTATATTGACTTCTCTTATGCTGAAAATTACGTTTTGGTTTTTTTTTAATACCAAGAGTATATTTGGTGACTCGACAACACTGTAGTGAATAATAATCAAAGGAAGGCAGGGAGTTATATGGGATTATCAGTTTGGAGCTGATCTTGTAAAGGGGCACAAAGGTCTTCATCTCTGGTGAAAAGGCCACAGAGTGCTGTGGATAGTCCAGGCAGAAAGAAACATCAGCAGAGTTTCCAGTAGTTTCAGAAGTTCTAACCTTTTTCTCATGGGCAGAGCAAACAAACGGAGTAGTTTGTTTGAAAATGTTAGTTGTGCCTATATATTGTACTATTCTGGTTTACCATTTTCTCAGTGTGCCAATTGCTGAAATCATTCTTATCATATTTTATAAATGGTGCTGGTTTGATTTTGGTGCTGGAACAACAATTCTTTTGTTTTTTGTCCACTCTTTCTGGCCCACCAGAAAGTGGGCCCACCAGTGTGTTTGAAACCAGTGGGTAAATAAAATACAGCACTCAATAGAACTTCTGCAGTTTTCTGCAGTACAGATGCTATAAAACTTGCACAGGGGAAGCATGAAGCAGATGTTTAGCAATAGTAAGGTCAAAACTACACTATAGCCTTTGACTCTAGAAGTCCATCAAACTGTTCATGGTTTTACATCCCCAAAATAGGAAGCAAACAGCAGGAAAATGCAAAGTGACCTGACATCTTCAGTTCAGCACAAATTTAACTTAGGGTGTCCGTCAGCTATTTCAAAAATAGCAAGCCTCATACTTAATTTCTGTCAAAACAAAGCCAAGGAATTGTGGTTTTAGTTTCACTTGGTAGATGGATGAAGACAGATAAGGAAATACAATATCTGAGATATGAGACTCTAAAGAGTTTATGCAGCTTGTTTTGACAACTCTTACCACTTTTACCTTTAGTGCATGTCTGCTGTATCAATTCTTACTGCAGTCCAGAAACAGAAGAGTATTGTCCTAGTTACAAGTTCTTTGGTCTCTTTTATTAACTCTCAGAAACATTTTAATAGCCAAGGGGACCATGTTTGTTGTTTACAAATTCATAAAGTTCCATTTATTCCAAGAATGGCAAATACAAGGAAGGCTCTAAATGGTCATATGACTGTCACAAACGGTGAAATGCAAGTTCCAATCCCTATATAAAATAGAGCAAACTCACATGAACAATAAAAGAAATTATAGCTGTATTAAAACAACATCTGCACTTCTAAAATTATTTGAAAAATTGTTAAGATTGGTCCCTGTTTCATATTGATCACTAGATGCTTTCCATTACAATGTACAAAACCAGGAAGATTTATATTCATCAGTGTAATAAGGTAAAGTCTGAATATCTGAGTGCACTGAATAAATGTTTTAATTAAAATTAATAAGAAGCAAGTCTTTCTTTGGTATATTCCATATTTTATATGCTAGATTCTTAGATGTCTTTAAGGCACTCTGATATATGTTCAAAGAATGACAGTCCATACTCAAAGAGCATATTTTACTGGGTCAGGGAGAAAAATAGTTCTTTTGTTGTTTAATGTCACTGGTGAGATGTATGTCCCAGTTCTGACAGAAGTACTACGTTTCAGAACTCTGTAGCATTAGATGGTTTTTTTTTTATTTAAAATTTACTCTAGCATCCAGAACAACAAAAATATTTTGAAACAAAGAACCCAAATGCAAATCAAACCCACTTCTGTGTTATTGAAAACAAAGAAGCTGTCTTTTATTAGAATTGAGTTCCATTTAATTGGTGGAGCTGTGTATTATTTTGTGTGAGTGGAAGGTGCTAGCTCCAAAGAGGCTGAGGGCAGGCAGCAAAGCAGGAGTGAGTGGTGGCAGAAGTGATGGGCAGGGCACAGAGTGCTGGGCAGGGGAGAGGCTCTTACATGGCTTCTCTGAGGGCAAGAGTTGTGTTCTCAGCTGAAAAACAAACATTCAGAGGTAATTCTTAACAAGTCTGACTTAAAGAAGACCACAAAAAAAAAAAGTAAAAGAGAAAAGAAAATGTGTCGGTAGTTGCTGGCTATAGCTGGGGCACTTCTGTCAGAGAGGCTGTAGCCAGGTTGCTATGAATAAGTTCAGAGGTTAATATGGTTAGAGTTAATGCACTCAAAGTTGTAATAAGCTAGTTATGTTGATTAAATAGTTGTTAAATGTTAAACCCTTGTTGTACCCCCACTGTTGTACCCCTTACATACACTGTAGGGAACGCTTGGCTCCAGGACAGTTTTGATGAATGGAGACAAGAGATCTCTGAAGGCTGCTCTTAGGATATCAGGTTTATTAGGGATGTGAAAGGTCTTGCTTGGAGCTGCCAGACGCAGCACGTGGCAAGGCTTGAGGGGATGGGGGGGGAGAGACAAGGGGTAGAGAGGATGCTCTAGGAGAGGGTGGAAGTTCCAAGAGGGGGAAGATCTAAGAGGGGGGAAGATCCAAGAGGGGCAAGATCCAAGAGAGGGGAAGATCCAAGAGGGGCAAGATCCAAGAGAGGGGAAGTTCCAAGAGGGGGAAGATCCAAGAGAGGGGAAGATCCAAGAGGGGGAAGATCCAAGAGAGGGGAGTTCCAATAGGGGGAAGATCCAAGAGAGGGGAGTTCCAAGAGCGCATCTGGCCCCTCGGAGACCCCTTATCAGGGGGCTTCAAGGTGGGCTGGAACAAGACTTAGGCCAACGGGGTCACAGACACTTGATGTTTTAGGGGAGGGTTACAGGTGCAGGGTGAACCATACATTTTGGGGGTTGAGATGGAACAGTCCGTCTGACTTTTGGACCTATCTGTAGGTAAGGGCATTGTCCAGCCAGTAGCGGGGATTGTTTTCATCCTGGCTGTACTATTGTAAATATTTTGCCAGGCAATTATATTTATCCATCCTTTCCAACAATACACCTTGGTTGTACCCCCTCACCTTACCTGTGAACCCTTGTTGCATCCATCAGGTATTGCCTCCGCTACTCCCCAGAATGGCGACCAAAAACATTCCCAGGAAATATGCGAATTAACAGAAGCTCAAGAAAATCCAACAAAAGACCTTAGAAACAACGAGCCAATCTAAAATTTGAAGAACTAAGTGACTAGACCTGCTGGCAGGAAGTCCCTCTACTCTACCAACATGGTTTTAAGTGTCACTGTGACCTAAGTAGAACTGAGCCAGAGTAAGGGCCCTGGATGATGAGCCAAAATGTGTCTTCTCAGGCACGCCTGTGAGGACAGAAGCCCCAGTTCTGCTGTGAAAACTGTTCACCTCCTCCTCTGCATCGCCAAAGGGAGCAGCAGCAGTGTGTGCCACCCCTCGGGCCCCCACCCAGAGCTGATAATTTTAATTAAGGCATCCAAAAGGTCTCCTTGTCCATTTATCTCAGGGTGGCCTGAAGGCACTTCCAGCAGTAGCGGGAAAAAACTACTATTTATGTGAGGCTTTTTTTCTTTCTTTCTTTAATCCCTCCTCTATCTGCACTGTATCTTTTGTGGGGAATAAATAATCCATCTCTGATTTTGGGCCCCAATAATCCAGCATTGTGACAGGATCCTGTGGAAAAGCTCTGGTAAAATCAGGTGCCTTGGTGTTAGCCCTGATGATGCAGTGTCCTTGTTGAACAGCAGTGACAGCAAATAGTTCCAGGTAGAGAGAGAAGGAAAGAAAAAAGTCAAATCTGTTAGCAAAAGATTGTTTTGTAAGAGAAATAGATGTAAACAGCACTGGGAGTGGAGCATCAGAAAGCTCAGCTATAGATTTAATGGTCTGTATTATAGTTGGTGCCAGCAGTGACAGCATTGCCTGGCTGGGAGGGACAGCATCAAACCCAGGAAGCTTATAGGCTATTGCAGGATAGGAAAATGCAGAATATATCCTCTATTATAAATCATGCAAGAGAACATAGGTTTTTTGTGGCATATGTGATGATGAAATATGGTATAATGTGACTATGTTCTGGGAAGGGCTTCTCTCATTTGAGCTGTGTGGTACAGCAGCCATTTTGTTTTCTGAGTTTCTGTGGTATTAATAAGACATCAATATTTTTGCTGCATCCCAGTGGGGCTGCCTTTATTCTGTTTCCTTTAAGCTAAAAAAAAAATCACTGTAGAGTGAAGATGATTTCTCATTGCTTATGACAGTTTCAACTTGAAGGAAACTTCTTAATATTCCTGTTAACATTTCTATTCACAGTCCTGAGTGGGAAAAGACCCCTGACTATAACCTTTTCGAATTGAGGGGTTTGTTGGGATTTTTGTTTGGTTTTTGGGGGTTGTTTTTGTTTTGGGTTGTTGTTTTCGGGTGTTTTCCCCCTTTTTTTATTTAACTTTATTTTATTTTTGAATGTTCAAGCCACTGTTAGTTGGCTAAGCCTTGTCTGGCAAGTGTGAGTGGACTCATGGGGAAAAATCATCTACTTGTCTGTCTTTCTCTTGGACGGGATATCAGGCATGAGTCTGGTTGGTGGGAGTGAGATTCCTGTATCCTGATGTTAGCTCTTCTTACCTGTCAGATTAAGAAGATAAAACCAGACACTTAGACTTGGATGCATTTCAGCTGAGCTCTGAGAGGCATTTAGAGAAATCCAGGTTTGATTTATAAATGCAGCTTTTTCTAACTTTTGTGAAGAGCTCCATTTAATGAGCAGTGGCACTATACATATCTTTATTTCAAAAATCCAGTGGGAACACTGTCATTTTGATTGTCTATCTGTCTCAACATAGGTATCTCCCAGTTTGCCAGGGGAAGTATATTTATTTCATGATTGATACCACAGCTTCCTCGTGCATTAGCTGCCTGGGGCTAACATGGTGTTATTCTTGGGCAGAGGCCTCCATGCTCAGGTTTATAGGACTGTTCTCTGGAGTTTCTTGACCTAGTGCCTCAATATTGATTTAGCCTGTGGCATTAGCTGTGTCTCATGTCAGCTTTGTCTTGAAAACCAGGAAAGATCCGGCCCAGGAGCAGCAGCAGCAGTAAAAGCTCTCTCTGTTCCTGTTACCAAGGAGTGTAAGGCGGGTCAAGGCGGGAGCATACTCAAGGTACCATTGAAAGAAGCTACTCCTAGAACTTCATTAACTTTGCAAATGAAACAAACTAGGCCCAGCCTCCAGTGATTGAATGTAGATCCCTCCTGAGGTGCCTGGGAGCTGTTGAAGGCTTGTGAAATATCAAGTATTAGCTGAAACAGCAAGCTAAAATTCCTGTGAGGTTTGAGCAGTCACCCAGGAGCAGGACCCATGCAGTTCAGGCTGGTTTTTTGTCAGGATTTGTTCATATATTCACAGTGGGTAGAAGTCAGCCCTTCTCTGACAGCCTGGAGCTGGCAAATCCCTGGCCTATGGCAGCATTTTTCTGAGACCTAACTCAGGATCCAGCTGGACAATTTTCCATATGCAATTCTCACTATTGTTCTGTGGCCTAAAGAACTTCCTAACTTGTCTCTGAGCACAGTGTTACTGTCATGTTAATGTGTGTAGGGAAGTAGGTTTAATTTTTTATGTCCATGCATTTTGGCTGTGCAAAGAAATATAACTGTTCCCTTGAGTCAGTCTTCAGTGATTGTCATTGCCCTTTCTTCTGAAAGAGCAGTAAACTCAGCCTAAGTGCTTTGGGAGTGCTGTGTCTAAGAGCAGACACATGGCCAGCTCACTTCACAAAGGGTAACTCCTATTTGCAGCGTAGTGTGCTGGCCATTTTTTAGAGCTTCCCCTGCCAAGGGAAACTCTTCTAGGTCTTACTGCTCACAGGTCAATGGACAGCTCAGAGAAAGAGAAATCACCATTTGTGTTCAGCAGCAGCTGACTGCTTCCTCAAACATGAGATCAGACACACTTTTTAAGTGCAGTCACTGAATGTATCCATTTTCTAATCTCTTAGTCTTCTCCTCCAGTAAATTGTGCTGGTTAATTTTGTGTTGTGTTAAAACACCCACTTAATCAGTTTTTAATGTATTTAAATGCAGCCTTTGATTTCATTAAATGCCTCTTGTCTGCATTGTGAGAGAGCACTTGATTTACTCTGCCTATACACTCCATCGCTTTGGGTTTTTCTGGCATATTCTAACTTAATTAATCACTGAGGTGAACTGCATCATTTAATATTTGTTCACAGGAGACTCTGTTTCCCTAACGATGCTCATTGTATTCCTCTCGGACTCCTGCTGGTTCTGCTCTTACAGTTTTGGAAGAACCCTTGTGTGTTCAGAGCAGCATTCTGAGTATCTCAGTATCCCATGGCAGCCGATGGCGTTTGTCTCTGCTCAGACAGCTTCTCACAGCACCACGGTTTGCCCTGCTCTGTGCATTAATGCAGCCTGGCAAGGCAGCTCCTCTGCCATGTAGCAGGGCAGTGGGTGTAGATTGCAATGCTGTCACAACACCCTTGTCTGGCTTCTACATTTATTCACTTGTTTAGTCTTAAGTTTCTGTAGTCACTTTCACACATTATTTCATTGACTGTGTTATGGGTAATAAACATAATTCGCGCCATTCCTTGTATAGAATATATCATGTTAAATACTTGTTAGATTATACTCGCCTATACTAGCCTCTTCCCCCACCCCACACCCCCCCCCTTCTCCCCTCCGAGATCGGGTGTATATTGGAAACTGATTTACAGGTAAGAAGGTTTGGCTCCCCAGGAGATGGGCCATGGCTGGAGAGATACGGGGACCCCAGGCGCTGATCATCGCGTGAAGGACCTGGGATGGATATCATGGAAATCCTCAGACAGATACATGTGAATGCAGCATTCCCATAAATTTCATCACAGGATTCAACAACTCTGGACGCTGAATTATTCTCCCTCATCTCCAAAAAAAAAAAAAAATCTTATTAACATATAGACTCTAAATAGAAGAAAAGACTGATTGCAGAAAATCTTGGCCTCAAGCGGAATTTTCCCTCTAAAAACCGCTTGTGCCAGGATGGAGGTGTGTGGGTATAGGAGGAAAACCTCTCCTGAGGCTGACTCCTTGTTGGCCACCCAGGGTCGATCCCCGGGCTCAGCACTGTGTTTTTTTCGTGGCTAGCTAGATAGAATTTAACCGCAAATAAAACTATTTTTATTGTTTAATTTGGCTGAATAAATTTTCATTTATAACAACTGGAATGGAAGCTGAACTGAGTCTTTTAATGGAATAATTAGTAAGGATAAATTAGTCCATACAAGCAATCTTATCAAATTCATATTGTCTTGATTTATGATTAATAGTCTCAGTATAGGCAAAGTTCTGAAAGACAGTTCTCTACACTGAAAGTGACTTATAAAAATAATGAAGCAAGTAATAGTTTAAAAATACAACTGTTTTTTTAACTACTGGGTAAGTAGTAATAGGATCAGCAGAAATCCCAAAATAGTGCCTTGTATTTTGTCTTTGGCCTTTTGAAAGCAAAAATACTATTATTTTTTAAAGATGGATTTTAAAAAACATCAACCAGATGACATTATATGTTAATGTTATTTATATTAGAAATTTCTAAATTCTCAATATACCCCAACTGATGACAGTCCTATGCCAGTATAGTAAAAGACATTAAACAGACATGGTGAAAATTTATTTTAAAAGAGGTTCAAGTATGAAGATCTGTTCCACTGTGTTGAGGAGAATTGTAGAAGGCAGTATTTTGTTATAATATGTAAATAAGTATGCAGTATGCAAAATTCCTGTGTTTTGTCTTTCCCTGACACATATATGCACTGTTTTCCAGACAATTTTTTTTGCCACTTAATGGTGCTAAATCTTGTTTTTCTCTGACAGTTTTTTGTGCCATGTTCCATACTGCTCCATCAGCTGAGTCTCTTGGACAGAGAAAGAGTATGTTCCTGTAAGTCCTTCAACATGGCCTCAAGCAGCAGAAAAATGCCTACATCCCATACAAACCTGTATGACTTCAGGTGAAAAAGCAGGTATTGAAACAGATGAATTTTAGAGGTGAATTGGTTTTATGCAAATGTACTAGTGGAAATAGGTGATTCAAACATCTGTGGGCTAAATTACAGAAAAGGTGTTTCTTGGTTAAAAATTAATCATAAAGAACTTTAAAATACATTATGAAACAAGAACTGGTCAAATAAATATCAAACAACTATAAAGAAGTTTGAAATATGACACTTTTTTTTTCCTTTCTATTACTATTTCTAATTTTAATTATTTATTGATTTATATTATTAGCATTTTTATCTTTAGGAGTTGTTAATCCCTCTCTAGTTTTTGCACTAGTTCCCTGAGATGTTTTTTTTAAAAATATCCTATAATGCATAGGATATTGCCTTTTTAATGACAAGGAGTTTCTACTGGATTGGCAGTGGAGGCAGTGATTGACTGTGCTGGCAGTTAGAGTACTTTTCCCTCTTCTGGTCAGACAATACAGAGTGGATGTTAAAAGGTAAGATCAGTATATTTTTACAGTGATTTATTTGGATTTACAATTAAATAAAGCCTTATTTACACAGTGAATATAATGATCATTTAACATATCTGTCTTTTTCGGAAAAGTAAGAATTTTAAATTAATGCATCAGAGCCAATGTGCTTGTAGATTCTTTTTTAAAAAGACTTGCCTCTGAAGGAAAGGATGCTTACCTAATGAGTTGAAGTAATGATTCCGCACCTTGCTGGTTTGTTTTGGGATCTTTAATTTTGTTTTTGCTTTAATTTTTTTAATCATAGAGCTTTATGTCTTAAATATTGCACTGGTAGTTTCCACAGTGGTTTTGAAAGTGCGATTACATTTTCAGCTAATTATATATCAAAATTTCTTTTTAGATTTTTTTTTATCATTGCTGGAGAATTATATGAAAAAATTGAGACAAATTGAAATCTTTTTTTAATATACACTGAAACACTTGGAAATACTTTTGCACATAGGAAGTGATTAGAATAGTAACAAGAAAATACCGTAAAAAATTTCAACAGCTTTTATCTTAAGGTTTTGGTCAGTCATCACGTAGTGTACAAATGATGTAATTTCCAAAGTAGTTCATGTTCTGAGCGTCCATGGTATCCTTCTCCAGAGGTCTTGTCACTGGTTTCATAGGATGGGAATGTCCGTGTGGGTGTGGGTTCACTCACTTAATTTAAACCTGCACCATTTTTTTTTACTATCCTCAAATCTGCTTCACAGCTTTTCCCAAAGCCATGACTTTGCAGACTCACTGTAGAGTTGTTTCCTGTACATGTGTCATTCAGAAGATTACCCAGTACTGAGGAGCTGCCAGCTGATTAATGGTTAGCAAATATTTTGCAAAATGTACTTATTTTCTTCTACTGTTCCCTATGAGCCTTTCTTTGTGAAGACATGAGGAAAAGACATAAGGCAAAGACAACACAAGGGAAGATCTTGACCAACATTCATATAGACATTAGAGTGTAATTAAATGGTAAAGAGTATAATTAAATCAAAAAGCATAACATGTACATACCATGTTTGTAGGTAGCACACAGTGCATTGGTTTTGCTCCATTCTGTCTTATTTTAGCTCAGATAGGATGTGGAAGGCATGTAAACTCAAACTAAGAAAGCTGGAAATTGATATAAATAAGAGAGTAAGGACTTGAAAGGATAATAAATTCTTACTGCAAATACTCATCTTTGAATACTCTTGTCAGTTATAAAGCAGAAAGTATTGAAACTTACCTGGTTACTTTCTACTAAAAGTCCAAGTGGATTAACAACTTAATTTGTTAAGTATTTACTGCTGACATTCTTTTCCAGTAAGTAATGCCCCAAAGTACAACTTGCTGAAATCAGTGAAAATATATTTATTAACTGTGAGATTGCACATCACTCTCTGGAACAGTTTTAATGTGATTTGTTGATCAGTTACTCAAGAGTTACAAGCTTCTGCATGATTTTTTGTCTTCAGCATAGTAGTGGATGGTGACAACTGTCACAGTATTTCTAGATCCTCTTTAGAAAATCGTAATGTAATTTCTTAAAGGACATATTCTACTCCTCTAAAAACCACAAGAATTTCAAAATATACTAAAGCCTTTTCTGTACACTTATCAAGAAAATACAAAATTTAGCAGTAATTTTATCACGTAAATGTAAGAAAGACTGATGTGGGCACAATCCCAACAGGTAAAGTGCAGTTCTGCATAGGCTCCAAAGGTCACTCTCCACCTCTGTTATCAGAACAGCTCTTGCTGTTCTAAAGCCCGTTGCAGCCTGAGTAGTACCCAGTAAACTGAATAAAATGGCTTCAGTGGACTGGAGTACAACTGGGGTAGCAGGATGGTGACTGACCTGCTGCCTGGCTCTAGTTCCCAGCTGACTGCACTCTCCTGGTCACAGCTTCATTCGTTGCATTTCAGCTCGATTTTACCCTGCAGCCTAATGACAATTTGGGATTTATGTTCTTTGAGTCATCTCATCCTTAGACCATGGGTAATGCAGTGAAGCCAGCCTCAAAAGGATGTTCTGTGGATGAACTGGATGTTTTAGAAATGCCAAAATTCAGTGTCGTGATATGTTAGGATAAAAGCCTTGAAATTCTTCAGTGAAAGAGAGTGAGGCTTCAGCACAGTCTTTGTTGCAGCAAATGAAACTGGAGATAAGGAAAAAGAGGATGACAGCACTCAGAACAAATCCCAGTATTGCAGCTGGAAGATGTTTTTTACAGAAAGTGAGGTTGTTAACTCCATTAAGGTATGGAGCCAGAATGCTGAGGTACCCCTAAAAAGGGGAGTTGTATAGTAGAGTCCTAGAGTGCTCTTTTCAAGGGGTAAGCTGACAATTTACAAACTCTTCCCTAAAGGCAGAAGGCAGGGGAAAGAGGTGTGAGGGTGGCAGAGCTGTTAGAAATCTCTAAAGGGCAAGAAACTGATTTCTTTGGTTTTGTTTTGAATGTCGGCTACCAGGGCATTGGGGGAATCTATAAAATTTTGTAAAGCAAAATATCTGAGAGGAAGCAATTTATCATTTTTTTTTAATTTGCTCTGAAAACGACTTTTATAAAGATTTTGTTTACTCCTTGCCTTTACACTCAGGACCCTTCCATAGTTTCAATAAGAATCTATTTTCTCTGGAGAAATAAAACCCACAGAGGGATCTGTTCTTTCTTCCTCCCTGAGCAAATCTTTATCTATGACTAATGTCTCAATTACTATAAAAATTGTAAAGATGATCATCAGCTTTATCATTGAACATCTCATTTAAAAAACAATTAGCATCCTGAAAGATGAAACTCTTCTGTGCTCTTTCATTGGCAGCAAATGTGAAAACATAGTTCAATATTTTACTAGGTTTTCACTTACAAAATTCCAGAAAGAAGAGAAAAATATTGAAGTTGGCAACTGGCATACCAGCCTTTGCAACTCATTATCTATATTATAGTTCACCTACTGCAAAAACTCTTAGTATTGATGTCATTATTCAAAGAATGACAGCCGATTTAGGACAAAACCTAGATTAAATGTATCTCTGCTCCAGGGCTGACAGCAGCATTCCACCACAGCTTCTCCTGTTGGTGGATGCTGGTGCAGGGACACTTGAGCATTGGCAGCCCTGGAGAGGTGCTGCTCAAACACATGAGGAGTTAATCGATTCTTGAGCAGCTGCACAGAATGCATTGCACTCTCTGTAATCTCTCTGTAGCCAAGTTAGTGGTTTCTCATTCCCTCATATATCTGAGTTCCCTACAATTCATCCTCATTGTTGCAATTTCAATAGTTTATCTTGCTGCTGTGTCTTCTCGAATGAGCATTCCTTCTTTGTCACTGCCTTTCAGGGATACCAGCCTGAGCCTTGCTCTGCAGCATATGGGTACATTAGACCTGAGCCAACCTCTCTATTTCTCATTTTGTCTGTGTTTCACAGAATAATGAAAATGGATGAGTTTTTTACTCTTTAAATAATCATCCTGAGTTCTTGTTAAGCATCATGTGCCTCTTACTGAAGCTGCAGTGCTTGCAGGTAGGTCCACGTGGTATGGGTGTGCAGCGCATGTGCACAAACTTTGGCACAGGGAGAATTGCAGAGCCCTCTTTGGAGTCAGCAGTTATCATTCAGCAGTGCTCATGGCAATTGAAATGGGGCAGAATATTCTGCTTACTGTATGCAATCTCTGTTCATGCTGTGGGAGTTTGTTTTGCAGGGTTTTATTTACAGTCTTATTTATAGGCACAGATTTGGGTTTGGATTTTGTACACATACTTAAGTTTTAGCAAAACCACAGTTCTTCTGCTTATCCATCTGACTCTGGCATAAAAAGCGGTACAATAGGAGGTCAAATCCTTCAGACATTCATTGGGGATGTTATGAACTTCAGAAATAAAAATAATGAGTGAAATTCCTTAAATTGAGAATTGATATTTTATGAAAATATACCAATTATGAATGTTGGATTCTTTATATTTTTTTTTTTCCACTGGTTCTGTAACGCAAGGCTGTATATGAATTTGTTAATAGGACCTGATAGGTACTTTTGGAAAGATGGTCTGGGATGCACACTTTGCATAAAATCCAGCCAGGCCAACCAGGTGACTACAGGAAGAACAAGAAATGCTGAGTTTTCCCCATGTTCATTAGATAAACAAAATACATAGGAGATTGAGATTTTGATGAAATGTAGGCTTGAGCCATTTCAAGTAACTCTGCCTTTCAGTATGGTTTGTATTTTTTTCCAGGTATCTTATTTCTGCTCTCTTCCTGTATTCTGAGAAATTGTTGTCACTCTCAGCAGATGAGTCTCCAATACCTAGAGGAAAGAAGCAGCACACATAACATGAACCTTGTAGTATTGAGCACTGAGATTTTAGAATAGTTGCCTTGAAACCTGCATACAGATACAACCTTGGGGAAGGTCAAGGCTAATAAGACTATTTACATACTTGTAGATTCCAAAATTAGGTATTGATTTAAAAGAGTATATGGCTAAGTTAATGTAAGAAAAATTCACTGAGAGCAGTTATAAAATATATATTAGCTTATCTCTGAAAGTCTGTACTGAAAGCCACTAGTTTTGGTTTTCACATTGAACTAGGGATTTGCTTTGAAGATATTTGGAGGAGAGATTTCTTCAGTAGTTGTCACTAAAAACATGTCAGCCTCAAAAACATATTGTAATTGCTACCATGAAAATGTATACTAAATTGCTTGTAAGTCAAAATTTCATGCAAGACTACAATCAAGACCCCATCAATGGATATGAGAAATAAAACATAATGCAAATGGTAAACAACTGTGCATCTAAAATTCAAAATAAAAATTGCACAGTTAATGCAAATTGCCAGGGAGGAAGGAGATTGACTGAGGATGACTACAGAGCTCAGTTTCATATTTTGAAGTAATAACCTTTGGGTAATACATTCCTGCTGTTCATAAGAAAAAGGTACATCTTAAATTGCTCACAGCTCCCTACTCACTCAGAAATAAAAAAAAAACACTCAATAAACATTTCAGAAATAGCATGGTCTCTGTCTGGTCAGATTCCATGTGTGAATCATGAATTTCTAGGCAGTTTGTGTCCATCATCATCCTGCATAAGCAGAATCCTCAGCAGTCTGATTGTCTCTGCCTTCCCTTGACTAGTGATGGTGTATGCATTTTATGGGCATAGGACAGTTGCAGCAGCTGTCAGCACCCTTACAGAGTTCCTCCATGTGTATTAATTCAAATGCTTAGTGTTTGAGGTGGTGAAAAAAGACAGGCAGCAGAATTGTGGGAATGTGTTTTAATGAATAAGATGTTGTTATTAATATAAATACAAATACCACAAACAGGTATCTCGTGGAAGAAAGAATGGATGAGAGGGGGAAAGGAAGGAACAATAAACTGAAGTGGTGAGAAAACTGCATATCTTAATCCCTGAAAAAAATGCTATAAAAGTCAGGGGGTTTAAACAGGGAGAACTGCATGCTTTAAAACCATAGTTTCCATCATTTTAGTGATAAATCTTTTTGTAGTGAAACAGGCTGGTTTTGCTAGTTTCATGGCTAGGAATCTAGAACTAATGTTCTATTAATATAGTGGAACACAAAAGGCATCTAAACAAAAGGAGTTTCACAGTAAGACAATACTTAAATAGCCAGCATTACTATATACCATATTATTAATGTAACAACATATTGCTATATGGTAGATCAAAAGGGGACAACAGGGCTGAGAGTTGAATGCAGTCCAGTATTTCATATGATGTTTAAGTCATCCAGGGTCTGCCATTGTAAAGTTATGAATACTGTTTTCAACATCCCCCAGTTTCTGGATGAGAACTGGGGGCTTACTGTTGGGAATACTTCATCGATCAGCATAAAGTACCTCTATCCCTGTTTATTTCATTTCTTCAAGGACAAAAGAAATGAACCGGAAAGCCTGAGCCTAAAACTAACCAAACAAAAAAGCTCAGGTGGAAGGAGTGACTGATGGGATAGGAGGAGAAAGCTAAGCTGTTAGTTTGATCCTTGAAAGGTAGCTAGGGCTGGGTAATGAACAAAATGGTTAAACATGTTCTAAACACTTGAAGAAATTGAGTGAAGAAAAACATGTCTCTTGTCCCTTCACTTCTTCCTCATCTACTTAAAATACTGTGTCTATTGACCATTAACAAACATTCCATTAACAAAAGTTTACTTTAGTAAATCTCAATGCAGTGTTTCTGGCTTCTCTTGCAAACATGCTCAAACCCATTCACCTTTCCCCTGTAGTGCTGAGCTGGGAACTCAGCTGTTTTTCCTTACCTTGTAAGCAGAGGTCTCCTGAAGGAGGCAGAACTTTCAGGTGTTGGATTGCTCCCTTTTACCATTGCACAGTTGAGAGACCAGCTCTTAGACTGAATGTGTGGCCTGTATTAAAGTAGATGCTGACTAAAGTAATCAGCTGCAAGACTTGTTTGGTCCCGATCTCTTAGGTTCAGGTTTCTTGCTATTAAGAAGTGGCAAATCCACAGGTGTGCTGAACTAAAAGGAGAGTCAGGCAGCTTTCAGGTATCCTGAGTGAATGCAGAGTGAAGCAAATATCAGGGGTTTGATCCAAGTCTGAGAAATTGCCAGCCTTTTATGGTGCTAGCAGGGAAACCACTGTCCTTGAAGCCGACTAATTGGTAATGTAAAATTCTGGCAGAGCTTCCCAGACAATCTGTTGAATCTGTAGATGTTTGCAGCTACAAAAGCCTCAGAAAAATTAACACTTTGCATGTGGGCACTTTTGCATCTCTGTAGGGCTATGTATTTGCACTGTATATTTTATTCTGATACCTCTCAAGTAAAAGAGCAATAAATATTTTAAGAAGCTGCCCTTTCTGATAGCTTAAGGCTCATTCCAGTGCTCATTGAAAGTCAGTGACAAAGATCCCATTACCTTTAATCATGCAGGATCAGGGCATTTTAATGCCGTGGTCAATCCTGCTGAGCATGTTTTCAAAGAATATTCACTTGGATTAGACCATGTACTAGGCTGCACTAACTCATTTCTGCATTAGCTCTTCCAAAATATTCTGGTTCAGCCCTGTCGGTAACCAGGGATGTTTGTCCATGGAAACAGAGCTGAGTAAATGTTGGAACGTAGTCTTGGAAACAGGTTATAAATTTGTTAAAAATGAAAATTTGTCCAGCCAAATTAATATGAAAAAATAAAATATTTATTTTGCAATCAAATTCTATCTAGCCAGCCACAAGGAAAGAACAGAGCCAAGCCTGGGGTTGGCCCTGGGTGTGCAACAAGGAGTC